ATTTATTAATGAACTTTTATTATAAATTTGTGAACGAAAAAATGATAGTAACTGCGAAGCACATATAATTGAAAATTATTATACTAAACTTACAATCTTTTAAATCTGATCAGATAGGATTTTTTGAAAATTTTTCTTCTGTTCTCTGCATTGAATGAATTGAAAACAGTCAAAATAAACATTAAAATGAATCGCAAATTTGTTAAAGAAGCGGAGAGAAAGAGTCAAAGTACTGAAAAGAGAGAAAACAAAAGTATTTGAATAGTTTAGTATGATAAAAGATGTGAATATCAAAGCTCTTTAAATCAGTTACCAACTATCTAAACCACACATTTTTTGGTCTTATTCAAGTCAAATGCTCATAATTTATGAAATTTATCACTTTTTAAAAAATGCAAAAAATTATCTCTGTTACTAATTTTTTTCTTTTAAATCAGAAATTTCATTTAAAAATTTTTAATTTAAAAAAAAATTTTTTGATGAAATTTTTAAAAATGTCTAATTTTTTGAAATTTCATTTAAAAATTCTTAAACTAGATAAGTTATACAATTTTATGCTTCTGCGCATCATGAAAAGTTCTAATTACATAAATAATGGATACCTTATCAGAGAAAGATAAAGGATGAGTGCTGCTGAAAAGCCTAGATGAAGTCGGTTGTGAATTAGCATACTGACAATCATCATTATTCATCATTTTATCTTCCAATGTGCTTAATTTGCCATTATTGCAAAGTTAAAAATTTAGTAGAATAAGCGAATCAGTTTGTGGCAAAAATTTGTACACACAATAAACCATGCCGATCGCTCTTCATTTCATTTATGTGTCAATGTGGTTGAATCTGAAAAAATCTGAAGAACAAATGTTTGTTGATATAAAATAAATGCTAGACATTAAACGAAAGTAGTATATTTGCATGTTTCTAAAATTAATTTTCTCTGTTGCTTCTACTAAATCAAATTTTCCGTTCTTTGTAATAATAAATTTTACACCAAGAAAGACGAAAATCATCCGAAATTGGAAAATTCTATGCACTAGACATGCATAATCAATCACAAACATGATGTAATGAAGGCAATTTTTATACGAAAATATGCCTTAACATATTGAGCCATATCAATAAAAAAAATTGATCCTATGTACGAACGCATTTATATCGAAATAATGCAGAAAAAGTCTATAGTATAAAACATGCGATAGACTTGGGTCATGCAGGATTTATTGATTGTGCATTCGTAGCTTTCGATTGCCAGTTATGGAATTTATAACTTTAAAAACTTTCATATAAACGAAACGAATACACAACACTTTGCATACTTTCAATTATTGTTTTGCTATGCTGTATGTTAAAGCCTATATATATATATAGGCTATAAACTGCTGCAAAGCAATCAAGAACATTAGTTCCTCTTGAAGCTTATTTTATCCAAAGCAGGAAAATGGATTTTAAATAGCTAAATTAGGATGTGCCCATCACTCGCGTAATTTTGGAAATTGCATAAGTTTGTTTATCATTTATATGCTTGCATATGCGCAAACTCCGATAATGTTCGAGCAATCTTCTCTTTGAAGAAATAAATTAAATTCTGAACTTGATCACAATGCACATCATCGAATCATATGTCGTTGGCATAAGCAATAAAGAGCACTACAAGTGCATTCTTTAATTTCATCACATTTTTGTATGATAAATTCAACATGAAGCATATCTGTACTTCACTGCTTAATATTTACGCAGTGTACTTTGTAACTATTTTCTATTTCCTATGAAGAATACCATTAAGCAACGAAAAGAGAGAGTAACATCAAATAGTACAATGACAACAGACTGAGAGTGGAAACATACTGCAAAGTTTCCTCGAGGAAGTGGAAAGTGAGTAAGTAATGCATATGAGATCAAATGCAGGAAAACAAAGTATTATACAAAAGTAGACTTTTATACAGCAAAACGTAGTATTCATAGATGAACATAAAAATGCGTGAAATCATTACTTTCTGGTCGAAACGACTAGCGAGGCAGCCCCATTAGTTTAACATCACCAGACTTCCGCTTGATTGTTTGCTTGCTTTGTCCTTCATGCAATTTGTCTACAAGTACGACAATCACAGGCCTATAGTAGTGCAATTTCTTCAAACATAATTAACTTAACAACATGTCTAATATTACTCACTGACAAAAATAACACTCAACTGCAACAATCATGACGAACAATTTTCTTTTCCCTCTACCCCTTAACACCAACAATATGAAGCAGTACTGAAACTATCATTATCACTGTTACCAGTATCACAACTAGTAGCAGTTATACTAATACTACTATTCTGTAATGGTACTTTTACTAATATTACTAACTGTATCACCACTGTTACCATTACTATTACCTTTATTATTATTGTTACTATTACTATATTACCATTACTATATTATTGTTACTAAATAACTATTACTACATTACTGTATCTATGATACTATAACTATAATACTATAACATTACCACTATAACTATATAACTACTGCTATATAACTATAATAGTTATAATAGTATAACTATTATAGTTATATAGCAGTAGTTATATAGTTACTATTATAGTTATATAGCAGTAGTTATATAGTTAACTATATAACTACTGCTATATAACTATTACTAGTTATAGTATAACTATAATACTATAACTATAACTCCATTTCTGTTACTATATTACTATAACTATTGCTGATAATGGTGCAACTATTTGTCTGTTATCAATAAAATGCTAGAAAGGAATCAAGTATCGGTGAAGAGTATGGATGGGATAAAACGACATCGATAAATAAATAAGCAATGTATGGCAAGGAATGAGAAGAGAAAGAAGGTTGTTGGCCGTATAAAAATGGCTAGCAAGAAATTTTCTGCGCTTCGCATTCGTACCCTCCCCTCCACAAGCAAACACACATAAGCAGACATTCCTGTGCTAGCTAGGTCTAACTTTGTCTTGTCTCACGAGGTCTCAGCTTAATCTCACATTTACTTGCTTCCCTCACTGCAAATAATCCTCGTATGATGCTCGTAAATAAAATGTATTAAGCGTTGTTATTGTTGTTGTACAGCGAGAGTCACGCACTAACTAACTCATTCACTTTTTATACGTCCATTCATCTTTTACTTCCTTCTTGCCTTCCTTATCCTCTTCTCATTAACCATTTTAATTTATAATGATGTTACTGCAAGTATTAACAATTTACATTATTATTATTAATACTATTATAATAAATATATACGAGAACACTGAAAACAGTATTGGTGCTGTTAATAGTCTTAGCAGTTATCACTTATCCAATTAATAACTACTAAGACAATTTTAAAGCCACACGTACTACCAACGTAATTAATGATCGTGATGGAATAACCAATTATTTGATTGGTTAAAAATTTCAATGGCATCAAGCACTATCCTACTTATCATCCATTTTTTACAGTAGGACTGATGACGACAAACTGTCCATACTAATATCCCATTACAAGAATTTACGTATTAATAGCACACCTCCGTCTATTTTTATTGATACACTCATTCGTCTGTACTCACCCATATCCTAAGCATCAAGTGTCATTCATTCAGCATCTAACAACTGCTTCCCACCTTCTTAATCATCTTTATTCTGCTTTTGCTAATTACCGCGCCTTGTTCACCATGTTTTGACTTTTCAAAAACCTAGTAATTTCTCTAACGCTAACTTAATTCAGTCTTGCAAAAATTGCATCAGTAATTAGTCTGTTGAACTCGAGCTTGCATCAACAGTTCCCTGTCTTCAAGCACGCAGTTTCTTTACTTATTACCAGCACCGAAAAATTCCTTCAATCCGAGTATAGAGCAAAACCTTTAATTATTTTCCCTTCAAGATGTATGTCATAACAAAACCCAACAAATCTACATTGTTCTACTCTTATCAACTGACATCTGGCACAGCAAACAACGATTTTAGGATTTAAAAACAATGCTTCAGAAAAAATGCACATATTAACACACTTGCATGACGTTACACAAAAATGACGCAAAATTATTTTTCTCAAGAAGAAACAAGAACATAATTATCTTTTCAAATAACTTGAACTGTGTCACAATGCGGATGAAAATTGAGCGAACCCCATCTTCACTTTTGAACTGAACCAAGCTTGAAAATATAAACTAAGCCCACAAGTAAGAACCTGTATCGATGTGACAATTGCATGAAAGCTGAATTTTTGCGAACTCCAGTAAATCAGTTACAACATAAGTAAGCACAATTCTTTTAACAAAGTATATAACATTCCACTTTTTTAAGAAAGCAAAAATTGAGTCCTCAATCACAAGTCTTGATGACCTCAAGAACAAAGTAAAGATAAAAATTCTATGGATTAATGGAAATATTAGTTAGATATGCAAGTACTGGAAATAATATCACAAGTGATCAAAGAATGTAAATTGCTTACGACTTACCAACATGCCACAATGAAAAATAAAAAATTGAATGAAGTAAAAAAATTGGGACTACTGCGACATTCCTCTATCTACAAGATTTTTCAACAAGAAATTTTGCGTTCAAGATTTTCATTTGCCTCCATCTTCTTTACAGATAACGTGAAACCTGATCTGAGATCCTGTTATATATCTCAATTACTATTGAGCAAAAACAATGCATGTCAATTTCGTTCCAGTAAAGTAAATTTCGAAAATTTCGGAGAATCACTAAGTATCTCAAGAAAACAGTTTTTTAAGTCACAGATCAAATTATATAGCTGCAGTGAAATTTGTCCAGAAAGCTTGATAAAAAGAAATAATTCCTTACATTTTTTTCATTTAAAATGATCCTTCTTTTTGTTTTTCGTATAATGCTTTCCCAAAAAGTACTATTTCAATGACAAGTGATTTGAGATTCTGATCACCTTACTTTGAAATTACAGATGTATAGTACCATCAAACGACTTCCTTTCGGCATCATTAGACCAGAAAGAGATATCAGAAGTATGCTGATAAGGACATTCACGATAGAATTATATCGCGCAGTTCATCAACAACTGCATAAATTAATTGCCGATCACCACAATGACCATCAATAGTGAGGTCTTCACCCTGCAATAAATTTTCAAGTTACAATCAACGTTTTTCTATCTCACTCTTTAGTCTGTATAGATAAAAAATCTGAAGTTCTAATTCAACAATATTTTTCTATAAGAAATATGCCACAAACTGGAATAGCAGTAAATTTTAAAAAACCAGCATCAGTGCTGAAAAGTACAGCTGAACCCAAAAATTAATACACACGAAATTCTGTTTAAAATTTTACTGTCAGTATATGAAAATTAAAAAAAAAACAGACCCTTTGTTTGACAAAAATGCAAACTGGTTCCGCCTTCAGTGTATGCGCATAAAACATAGCTGTTCTATCATGCTTTTTCACTACTGCAAAAATTACACAAGTTTTCTGAAGATTTAGATACACTTCCGAAATCCTCTTCAAAAAACCTACATTAAATGCCTCAGAAAGCAACCGTTTCTAATCGATAAAACTGAACATTACTTCAGTGTCTTGCTGCAATACCAATATTTTCCTCTGAACTGTCAATTTGAGATTTTGAGATAAGAAGAAACTGCGTACCAACAAATTAAAATCACTCAATATGAAAACAACCAAAAATTACCAGTAAAATGTCCGAAGAAACAAATTTTTTTAAGAATAAAACTCCATGGAAGGTTAGTTGTAAGTCGCACAGATGACTTATATTCCAAATCACTTGACAATAACAAAAGTTCATATGATTCACTAAAAAAATAATTTCCAATCCCTTATTTCAACCATAAAAGTATTATAAAAGTATTATATGGATGAAAATGAGAAAGTAGGAGTAGCTTAGAAAAAGAATTCGGACAGTAATCACCACAAATCATACTACAATAGTAGCGCTAAATCATTCTACAAATCATATCTATCGATACTAGTATCACAGATCTTTAAATTACAATTATATCCTCGCTGACTAGCACCAGATTTTTTCAAGGCAAGTCTGGGGCAACTCAAAGTTCTATTAATATAAACTGGTGTACTCGGTAGTTTCAAATTATTGAAAAGTTCAATTCTTACTAGCTATTAAATATGTATATTTCAGAAATCAGAACATATTACTCATCTTACCAACCCTTTGCATATTTCTATTTGGAACACGTACCTTGCAATAGTGGCCGGCATGAGGAAGGATACAGTCGGCATTAATATGTGGAAATCTAGCTTGTCCTGAACAGTTTCATTTTCTTGCTGAAAACGCACTCGATGAACTTTGAAAATTTGAACATTATGGGAAATAAAAATGTTCAAAAAATGGTCCGTGCTTTACTGTTTAAGAAAGTCGGAACACAAGAAAAGTGAAAAGTAATAAAATAAATGTTTGAAAACAAACATCTACAAAGAATGTCAAATTGCCTCTCAACTTCTGTGGCATACTGACTGCTTTGACTGAAAAACGAAAAACATGTTCTGCAGAAACATTAGCAGGAAGTTGGAAAGCAAGAGGAATAGCAGCCTGAAATAAGAATTATTATATTAATAATCGGAGCTGCTGTTCCTAAGTAATGAAAGGAAATTAATCAGTCATGCCATGTCAATAATCTTTTATGTAACATTAATAACTTTTTCCAGAATTCAAATATTTAATACTTTACCATGGATGATTTGCCCTCCTCACGTAAAAGACGCGTATTAATGGTATCTAAAACGTTCATTTCCAAATTACGTATTGTGTTAGATCCTTTGTTAGCAAATACAATTCCAATGGCAATTTGATTCGCATCATCGGTTGATACTCGAGTTTCATAAGTCTGAATTTTTATTCAGGAATCATGAAGCTTTAAATTTTTAAAACTAAGTGATTTCATAACAAATTAAAAATGCCTACAACTGATACAACGATGGAACAAACAATTTTCAAAAGTTATGCCAAAAATTTTGCAATTATAAGTGTTGAAACAATTTTAGACCTAAACATAACAAACAAAATGTAGATAAGCTCCTTGAATATATGAAAATGAATTCTTTAAATATCGAACCAATACATTTTGCGACTATGTTCAGTGAAAATTCTTATAAAGCATAAATAAAAGTGGGGTAAGCCTCAACCATTACCAACAACAAATCTTGTGTTTCGCCCAGTACTTTATAGGAAGTGAATCCCAATTTTGTCTTTTGATTCTTGTGATGATGATGTAAAAAAATATCATCTCGCTGTGTTTCAGTTTCATTGAACAAACCAGAAACAAATTGCAAATTAGGATTGCTTGGAGTGCAAACGCCTGAAGCAGTCTGAAAATTTAATTGATTAGTCACGATTTTTTCCCTTCACCAAAGAAGCATTCTATAAACAACACAACAGTCAACAAATCGTATTCGCAGTTATTTCAAAGTGGATAATATTTTATCAACCAATATTTTATGAAAATGATCACAAATTATCATGGAAAATCTTTGCCAGAATGGTACTTCTGGTGTTTCTAGAAGTTTGAACATTTTTAACGCTTAAAAATTTCTAAAAAAGAAATAAAACACGAAAACTGAAAAGTAAATTTTTAATTTTATATCGTCAAAACCTACTTCGTACACATCTTTATCAAACGGTTCTTCGACAACCTTTCGCTCCGTCTTTCCATCTCCAGATTTGTCATCATTTTTCTATAATCCGACTAGGCTCTTTATAGCGAGTTGAAATTTTAAGAGCTCAAAACAATAATGGTTGAATTTCATTGAACTTTTAGTAAGCATTACATGAAAATAATAAGCATTATATTCGCAGTCATGTCAGTCATTTCAAAATCGATAACTTTGAGTGTTACTAAAAGTCTAGCATTGTACGAAATATAAGGAACGGGAAATTCAACTCTATACTAACAGCACATACATCAAGTTCTAATAATAGTAATAAAAAGTCTACCTTTGTTGAAGTTTTTGATATTTTTTTCAAACTTTTCGCGGCAGTTGCTTTAGCTTTTGTAACATCTAAATTTTCGTGGTCACTGACTCTAACAGATCGAGTTTCATAACTGCTAAGCATTTTTCGCGTTTCTTTTCTACAAGATTATATAAATTTTGTCTTCTTAAAGTATCTCAAAAGCAAAGTGTGACCGAATAATTGCACCTACTTTTCCCTTACGTCTTTGCATACCGATTTCCTAACTTTCTTCTTTTTTTTTCGATTTGAGTGCGATGCTGTGTAATTGTAAGCTTGAGAAGAATTAGTGCCATTAACGGTTTCTGTTCCAGAATAACCAAGTAAATCCAACATATAAGGCCGTTGTTGAATGTAAGAGGGAGAAACCCTTCCTTGTTCGCCACATTTCACAGGTTCTTCCAAATCAACATCTAAGGCTTTGTAAACTTCGTCCATATCATTCTGAAAAAAATAAAATATACGCATACTACCTGTAGGACGAATACTCCGATAACTAAAAACACCTCTGTAAAGCGTATTACTAGTTAAAAAATGAGCACAAACTTTGTTTTCAACAAATTCATCATCGGTTGATTTAGCGTCTTCAGGCATCTCTCCCTCTTCTCTATTAACCTGAATCAATATCAAACAGTAGACGATGCATTTCAATATAACTGTCCAACTACGACGCATAATTAAGGATATTTTTGAAGTTAGATGATGACCACAGCCTACATTTCCCATGAAGAAATTAATCAATTGAAAATCTCAATGGAGTTACGAAATCTGCAGCAAAGCTGTAAATATTAACCTATAAAACACACGTAATGACATATTAATAACGCACTTGATGGATAACTGGAATGTCATCATCATCACTCGAGCTTATCTCTCTAACGAATTTATTCTTTTTCTTCCTTTTCTTCTTTTCCTTTTTTGCACTTTTCCATGACAATGTTGACTGCTGCTGTTTCATATATCTGTTAAGTCCCACCACTCCTTCAATAAATTTCTCCCAATTTTCTGATTAAGAAAAAAAACTACATCCAATTGACGAAATGAAATTAAAATGAGTTCTTCCTGAAACTAGAAAAACAAGCTCCAGATATTTTCCAAAAACGCACCAGGAATTTCTAAAGGACTCTGCAAGTCAGTGGGAGTTGAACTTGGTTTTTCAACTCCAGAACGAGATCTTACTGATCGCTTGTTAGCACTGTTTTTTATTTCTCCTTTCATATAATAAGGATTGTTTTCAATTTCCACTTGCCGCTGCTTGAGGCGCTAAAAAAATTCATAGTGATAACTAATCCTACAAAAATTCGCAAAGACCCAGATATAAATTAATTTTAGAAAATGATTATATACTTCTTACTGAAAATAAAATATCGAGTGAACAATTTGTGATTTGTGACAATACAAATAAAAATGTTCCAGTTCAGAATAAAAAACCAGTTTTCAGCATTTTATGAGACTTAAAATACCACAGAAACTTTGGATTTTAAACAAGTTGAAAGGACATCTCGAAAAGAATTTTTGCTTTCTTCTTTAGATGTCTCAATACTTTATGAGACGAATTATGTCAGAAATAATTTTCATTTTATTTGAGAAAACAGAAAGATTCATCACAAAAACAAGAGATTCTTGCTTTCAGAGTGAGTTCTGTTCTAAACCAATTCAGACAAGTTGAACTCCCAATACAATTCCAAGAATTCACATACTTTTTGCAGTTCTTCTTCAGTAAATTCATTATTTTTTCCTTTAACGTTTGAAACATCATTCTTACAGTTCCGATCATCATCACTGCCATATTTAGGAGGACCACCAAACCCAGTAAATTCAGAACGCAAGACTTGTTTACCAAAATAATTTTCATTTTCTGGCTCACTTCCTTCTTCGAAATCTGATTCGTGAATCCAAGTATCCAAATCCAATCTGAAGAGTTAACTATTAAAGGAAGAAACTTCATATTTGAAAAAATTAGGAATTTTTGGTTTGTTTGGTAAAGATAAATGGACCCTTCTGGTATCGGTACTTTCTTCTGCGCTTTTGCGGCAACCGGATTTAACTCGCCCTCGAAAAGTTTTGAAAATTCTTCACCAACTTTTTCATGTTTTGCATGGAAATGCTCGATTATTTTTAGCAAAGCCAATAAAGAACATGCCTATAAAATACATATTACAAGACTAGTGGATTATTACATAGCTAACCAAAATTTTTTCACACTAAACCTTAATTTTTAAAAAATGGATAAAAACGAGATGTTAAAACGAAATATTTTAACAAGTCAATATTACATAATCCAACCCGTAATGCAAATAACTGAACAAAATTCAAAAAACTTACACGATCCTGAGCTTCTAGGTGATCAGCTAATACAAATTCAGGTAATTTAGAGAGTAACAAGTTATCTAAACTATCTACTCCATCCCATTCATTTTCTGCTTCGGCTCTCGTAAGCAGCACAGCATACAACTTAGCAATATTCTGCATATAAACGCTAAGAATATGGCCAGGCATAACTGATATTTTGGCTTTCAGCATTGCTTCCAAAACACTTTGAATATTGCATAGATGTCTGAAAATCACAAGACTTAATGTAACTTGCAATTTTTTAACAGCTGGTGACTTCTTTTTCCATTAAAACTTAAATGCCAGATACCAACAACTTACAGTCCAAAAAATTATATTCAGTGGTGCTAAAAGACAAAATAACATTCCTTACGATCAATGACTTTTTCATACCGAATGCCAATTCTTACTAACTCACTCGCAGTATTCCCCACAAATCCATGCAGCTGCTAACAACACTTCACACATACTGCTTCGATGCTGTGCACTACCAGCAAGAAGAATATGAGCATTTTCAATAAGTAACGCCATCTGGGATACCGCAAAATGTCGTATTGATTGGACACGAACTGATACATCCAACATCTTAATATATACAGCTTTTTTTATAAAAATTTGAAGTTCTAAAATTATAATAAAAAGCTAGAAAAAAATCAGTTAGATCCTCACATTTAAATGTCACTGCAATCTGATGTTAAAAAAATAACTGTTTATTTCGTGCCAATGTTGAAAATGAACAATTTTTTGCAAAACAGAATTCGAAAAGAAAGTCGAGATAACATTACTGACCTCAGAATCGATCATCTCTTTCAATGAAATTTCAAAATTGTGCAAATTCATCATCATTGGTCAGTAATTGATGAAAAAAAGTTCTCTAAGAAATCCCAACAGAAAATCAAACTACCTGTCCAGCAATCACTGAGCCATGTTTCGTACCTTCTACTTTCGTTAATTCCACTAAAACAGATATATACCTGTAAAAATTAAAAATTCGCTCAATCATGATGAACATTTAGAAAGGAAAGGTGATATAAAAACAGTAAAGAAAATTTTCTTCGTGGTAATAATCACCATTCAAAATTCGTTATGTATTGGTAATTGTTATATGAGCAAATAGCAATAATTCTCGAGAGCAACTCATCTCGATAATAAGATCCTTCTGCAGCATCAAGATGATCCATTAGCTTGCGTATGATTTCCATGATATTCCGCTTTGAAACCATTCCATACAAAAGATCAAGCACTCTAAAATCTTTAAACTGACATAAAAAACCATTGAAAAAACGTTAGCAGTCATACCTTTGATTCCCGTAACTTTCTTACATGTATTTATCTCTTACAACGATAAGAATATCTATAACAAAGTCCTCTTGGTTTACATAGCTCCTAAGTTATTTATGCTTTTAAACTATGTTAAAGCAGATCTACATTTAACGTAAGAAAATTAGATTTAAACCTCAGCCGTATACTTTCATCCCTATCATCCAAGCATCTTAACACTATATCTTTGTGTGCCTGCACTGCTTTAGGATGTGTTTGTAAGATTTTTCCCATCGCAAGCAAGCCAAGGTACTTCAAGTTTTGATCAGAATCTTCGATGAGAACACCCAACTTTTGTACACATAGCTATAAAACTAATATAAAGTGACTCTTCCAAGATCCACCACCAAGTCGCTTTTAGAAAAGAGACCCATAGTAATCCGCACTAACTTAATACAGAAAGTTAACAGTGTAACTAAGGTTTTTTTGATACCGAGTGGTTTTAGCAGGGCTTGAATAACAGGACATATTTATTTTATGAAATTTCCAATGAAGCATTTAATTCATGCTGAAGCGCGGATCTGATTTCTAGGTATTATACGCAGCATATTACTATTTCTAATGAAAGATTTTTGATTATACCTGAATGCTAGCAGTATGATCACCGGGTGCACCAGATGATATACTTATTAACACTGAAAGACTTGGAGCATAATTAAGGTTATAAATATCGAAGAATCTGGAATTCTGAAACCCGGTTAGTAACTCTTTTCGGAACTACATCAAATTTTGATTTCAAGCAAATGTTCCGAAAATATGTTACGCGTGCATGTGGTACGTTTATCAGTGTATGTAACGTATCAGCGTATGTTAATACCCGCATTTCAAAGCTTCATATACTTTTTTTGCACATACATTTTTCTGAACAAACGAGCGTACATAAGAAATTTTGAATATGTCATTAATTGCAAGTCAAAATATGTTTCAAAAACTTACCAGCAATCACTGTATTGATACATTCATACAAAACTGACATTGCTGATGTGCTGAAATTAATTTTAAAATCGATAAACGCGAACAAATAAGTAGAACTTATAATTTAATATTAGAAGGAAAACACTGACCTGTTTATTAGGTTCGTCAGGGGGACCAAAAGTTTTTTACCAAGACGTGGTTCCAGCGGTACCAAAGCACCGAACTGAAACTCAAACTGCTAATTAAAAATGCAAATACGCATCGATTATAAACGCTTTTACTGGTACTTCACAAGAGATAACTACTCAAAAAAAGCTAGTGCAGTGATATCAGGATATATGAAAAATGCTTAGCAATTTCATTCAACTAAATTAACCTACTAGTTTGATAATTTTAATTAACATCCAATTATTTGATGAAGTGGTCATTAGCCTGAAAAATATAGGTGCTAGTGTCAAATAATTTTTAGGATTTTTCCGTGCCAGCTCACAGATTACATTTACTGCAGCACTTTGTACACCTGAAAAAATCAATGGAGGTAACAAATAAATATTGACTATAATAAGAAAAACAAAAAATAAGCATATCTAAGAAAACCGACTGCATATTTGTGATTACAGAAGGCAGAAACTATATAAAAGTGGAGCTATTAACATGGATACTATTCAAAAAAACTGATTTATACCGATTTAATTGACTTAAATTAAGATGCAATTATTACACAAAAGAAAATACCAGGATCTGGATCCTCCAATTTTTCTTTTAATCGTGGAAAAGTCGGCCTTAGAGAATCTGGATATTTCAAGAATATCTTGTACAGTAATAAAACACATCTTTTCCTGACATATGGGCGACTAGACGAAAGCTAAAACAAAAGATAAGCTCCGACCTCAAGTGTTATACTTCGTTCTCATATTTGAAAAATACCTTTCGAAAATAAAGATAAAACAACAAAACAGAATGTGGTAAGCTGTGCTATTTCCCATATATTTATATGTCCTCGAAAACTATTGATAAACGATGATACACACACTTACAAGATTAACGACATCAGTGGCAAGATCTCGAGCCAAATCAAGAGTGACGAAGCATGAAAATGCTCCAAGTGCCATACCCGTCTCATACATCATCGTACTGCGCAAGTCTTTACGTATTAAATTCGTCGTCAACATCAATACATCTGTGCCATCGTGAAAACATTGCGAAGCTGTCAAGTAGCTGAAAAAATAACGGCAAAATGTTTTCAATTCAATAAACTCCTTAAGTATAAATGCATTTCTTACCTCACCATTTATATCTATTCGCAACAAAGGGTTCTATGTTCATTATATATATATAATGAACATACAACCCTCTGTATATATATATAGCAGTACTTCTGAAGGAAAACAAGAGAGGTAAGTGAAGACTAACACACATGGCATGAGTGAGTTGGAAGAAAAAACTGCTGCAAAAAGATCTCGAAATCTAAAAGAAGAATGCAGTTCAGATATTAGAAGTCTGAGACGAAAATGGAGGATAAATGGAGAAGAACTGCAGCTGGAATCTTAAATAGAAAACAACGGGAAAGCAGATGGGTTGCAAAAAGCTCCGTGAAAGATGAAGAGAGCACTATGCCAGTGTACCGAATTAGGAACAGCACGATGATTACGCCCAAAGTACTCAATTCGAGGAATCAAGGTACTACAGGGCAGCTAGCCAAGGGAAGTGCTGAAAGTGGTTCTTGTACTTTTCGGAATAATGCTGAGCGGGAGATGGCTTTTGTGTTGTTTCCTGCATAGCGGGAATTTCTTGTGTGCAATTATCCTCGAAGAACTGATGAAGCAAGCGATTTCTGTGAATACGAGTATTGCATGTCGTTCGTACTCACAAATACGGTTCTTGGAAAAGTCAACGAGGCGTGTCAAAACACAAGACACGTACTTCGAGTACAACACACGACATGCGTCTAAGATTAATCTAGACGTAAAGCAGAAGTACCATGTACTGATGCAAGAGATCTAAAGACGTGAGGTAGACCAGACAAAGTGAACGCGGAAAATATTCTCGAAAAATGTTGACCCGCTTACACCTGGAACTGTAAACTAAGCGGCGATTGAATATGCACAAAGATTCCCTTCAAGTTAATGATTGATCTTCAATGTAGCTCCACGTGGCATAACAATGCCATGAAGATTTGTTAAGGCGGGAACAAAAGCCAAAGTACTTCTAGGCCTCCCTCATATTTAACCTTCAACTGTTTCACTGGCAAAATACAGCTCTATGGGGGTTTTGTGCAAGTTTTTAAAACTTATCTTCTTTTCTATGCTTGTCTTTCACCTCGATGGCTTTTTCAAGCACAGCATATAGCAAATTTTGAATTAATATAGTGGTTTCAGTTAACATTCCATCACTTGTGGTTTGATTTTTGTTAATCATAAGAGGAATTACCCGATCCGTTTTTCGCTAAATTTTGTCGATGCCATTACTTCAATGATGTTGAATGCTGCCCAAGATATATCATATCCCATTAATTGCAACTAAAACTTGTGAATGTATCACTTTCGTTTAAGTTATCATCACAGCTATTATTATTATTATTACTATTACTAAAAACTAAGCCCTACTTAAAACACAAACATTACAATACGTAAGTTTTCTGCTGATAAAGCATTAAAGAGTTGAACGTTTTACTGAGCAGAAAGTTCAAAAAGTAGGAAGAATGGCAAGATCCTCGTTTTTATTTACTTGCAAGATTTGCTTAATTTGAAATGTGAGAACTATTTAGAACTATTTAGTTTTTTATCTATTAATTACAATCATAACTCTATACAAATAATAACGCACGTATGCCAGCTTCTCGACTGCATTTGCCTTGACAAAGACTGAGTCCTGTCGAAGTTCCATTTTGATTTCATCAATGCAAGCTGCGATGTATCGAGCCTGTACGTAGCAATGTTATTTTCATATTTGTACAAATTAGGCTCAGATCTGCACAAATTACAACATCGACTGTATTGATAATAAATTGAGCTGAATTACGAACCTCATTGTCTTTGTTATTGCGAATTCCACGAATTAAGTCTGTTAATGTCTTGTCGAAGAAACGATCTAAATTACTGCGCACTTTGCGCAATGCCATAAACTGTACAAAGCTAAAATTAGCTTCGGTTCCATTTCTCTTTTTCTTTATATCTGTTTTTTCCTATATACTTTTACAAAAGCGAACCATCCTTACAATTACTAACAATTATTACTGCCTACAAAAAACTGATAATAAACAAATGTTTTCAAAGTAATGAAGATAGAAAAGTTATAATTCTAGGCAATTTACGCAAGTTACTTAAGCAAAAAATGCACTCAAAAAATTATGTTCGTCTTCAACTCAAAAACATGCACTACTTCCACCGAATTCCCATATCTTCCACATTGTATTTAACTACCAGAAAGCGTCAATGAAATTCTCACTTCATTCATCACAAGGTCCTACTATTGGTCTATAGAAAGTTTCGCTGGGTAACTCACTGAAAACCATCTTGCATGACGTAATTTCGATGGCGTCATGGTCATATCTGATAAATTATAATTTGCTAGTTTTGGTAAATCATGGGAGTGTTAGTAGTCATTTTATAATGTTTTGCTGAACTAAATTTCGGAAATTCAGTCATCGGGTAAAATATCATATTTTTTTAAGAATGCGTTTCATATTTATAAGTCTGTGTGAAATGCGTTCATAAATGATACTCTTATAGAAATGTTGACACCTAAATTCGAAATTGATCAAAACTCGACTCATGTCATTATTAAAATCTATGCACCATATGCAAATATAAAAGATGCTGAAGCACAGTACTGTAATTCAAGGTTTTACTTCACTTCAAAACCATATTTTTTGAAACTATATTTGAGTGGTGAATTGGCAGAAGAAGGATTAATCAGTGGTACCTATAACTGTGATGAAGGTAATTTAAAACTTGAGCTTGACTTATGTGCACTTTCAGCGGTAAAGAAAACTGCAGGTTGCAGCTACCTCCAACACATCATAACTTACTAAAAAGTTTGGTCTCTGTCAATCTGCATGCGGTTTTTTGCCTGGGTTGATTTTAAATTTAATTTTAAAAAAAATTTAGTGGGGACCAGAGTTGTATAACATTATCAGCGGGTTTGTTTTACTTAAAAATTGATACTGCTGGCCGTAGAATCAGTTTTGTTGTTAATTCATTTTAATTTCGGATTCCGTGTTCTCTACATTTAGTAGTAAGCAAGTAGTTCGACTTTTCGCATCGTTATATATTTTTCCAAAATTAACGTATTTATAACCATCTTTATAAACAAATAAAATTTTCATAAACGACAAGTAATGCTATAATAAACTGTAAATTGCTGATGTTCTATGCTTGATCCTCGGTTGCATTCATTTCAGGGTCATTCACATTTAAAGCGCCGAAAAAGAATAAGGGAGAATCCTTCCCAAATTTAGATTTAGTTAGCAAACTAATGAAACCGTCGGAAATACATACACAGCAGCTAGTGACAGAGATTATTGACGACGATGATTATGATGGTGTTGTTATTATTACCTTGCATCTGTTTTTTTTTTTATTTTACAGCAAACTTCCTTCTTTGCTTTTTAAATTTTTAGGAGGTGATTAATGTACTCGAAAACTCACGAGAAATTTAGCATGTTATCTTTTCTGTCATTTGAAGTAACTAATAGTGATATTTAGGAATGGTCGTAAATGTGCTGAAATTGTTTCTACTTGAATTTTCATCTGTTGTTACTCCATTATTGATGTAGACTGAAGGTTTAGATTATAGTAGATCTGAGAGTGCATTATGCTGAGCATTTTTAATTATTTATCATTTAAACTTCTTTCTAAGATCAAATTTTGTAAATTGCAGACTTTACGTTGGACTTACGGAAGAGGTCGCAAGCTGACGAGACCAGTGACTTTGATAATGTTGTAGAGGAAAAGTGTAAATTGTATGGTTATGGCTTTACATGTAATCGTATAGGTGTTCTTGGAAAATTCAGTGAGGAAATCGTAATGGTCGATTTAGAAAATCCGGAAGATTCCTTGATTTCTAGAAGAGTAGATGATTGCTTACATTATGATCAACAAAGGTTCAATGTGGAATACTATTTGTGCGTTGTAGAAGGCAACTTTATATTGATATGTTTTTTAACAGTCTGCAGCTCAAATTTTTCTATAAGTCTTATAGTATTCGAGAATCTCGTAAAATATCATCTTGTAAATCAATTTTCTTCCAGAGCGGATTTATTTGAGAGGAATGATTCGCTGAGTGCTTCCATGCAATTTGAATATTTGGATGATACATTTAATTTGTCCCTTGAAAGCCGTATGTACCTGAAAAGTTTCCCTAAAAAAAAATTCCATCATCCTCCAAGCGTGCACAAAATAATTTCCTTGTCTTTGATAGACATACTTTTCGCTTATTTATATGATATGAGGACGACAGAAGGAGAGCATTGTTCTGAATCTGGTTTGTTTTAGCTTATGAATTAGATCGCTTTTGTTATATCCAAGTTTTGTCTAAGTAAAATTTGAATGAAGTTTGTCAGTTTTCCAAAAAAAAATGTTCGAGCCACAGTATACAATAACTGAAGAAGCTAGCGGTTTTTTCCTCGCTTTTTGGTCTATGCATGTTTTTAGAAAATTTCTGACGACGGTTTTCTGAGGAAGTCAAGTTTCGTTTTTGATGTTGTTTTGATGCAGTTATAGATTTTGCTTGGTCTTTTTATTCAAGATAGTTCAAAGATATTTTTATTGTCAATGCAGGTTGGACGATTGCGAAATTGAGTCCAACTCTTAGTTATCTTGTGAGCTGGAGGACAGCAAAAGAAGCTCTCGTAGGTGCTATAAGAAGATCGTTGTGTTATCCACTTTACCGCTCCTGGAATTTATCGTTGAAGGTAGCAGATGATTTGAAGTTTCTCCTCAGCAGAGGTAAATCTGGACGCTGTTGTGCATTTTCGTTGACTTTTTCCTCATATTGTAGTGAAAGCCAATAAATGTTAACGCATTATTAAAATTACTCAAAGAAATTTTTCATTGCAGGTAGGTTATCGTTGTTGCGATGTTTAATAGATGTGCATATGATTTTCTCAAAAAGTGGAGATTTTCGATACTTGTTGAATGACTTGTTTATCACTGATTATTGTTTATGGTTGCAGTTTGTTCCGGATACTGTACTTGGGTGGTTAAGTTCCGAGGTTATGCAGTTAAAGTTAACAAAAAATGACATGCAACTAGGTTTGGAAGAAGTTGAGATAGAAGCATATTTACGCATTCTTCAAGTAGACAATGGAAGTGATGAAGTCATCGATTCAGATGACGACTCATCATAAAGATTACGACTTCATTATACACTTGATTGTTGGGCTGTCAAATGTCGAATTCTACTTAGCATTTTTTTGATAAGATTTTATGACTGATTGCCCAGAAGTCTATAGAATGGTATAGCTGAAAAAGCTAGTCCACTGTCAATGCTTTTATCAATTCACGAAAATATGATAGCTTGCAAATCATTTGTGAATTTAACTTCATAGTTTTAAGCTAGGTTAGACGTTTTGCTCCAAAGATAATCGGTCTTAAGCCAGTTTTGTTAAACTTTGGTAATACTATAAAAAGGTATTATCAATATTAATTGGTATTAGTATTCTTTGTTTGACATTCGATTGATCTATAATAATTTGTGTGAGTTGATCTATCTTGTTTCTTGTAGTAGTAATTGCCATCGCACAGTGTACTTAAAGATCAGTAATTTTAGAATTTTCATATGTTGAGATCAATAACTGTAATTAACTGTATCTGAGGCTAAAGCTGTTTGCTAAAAAATGTGTTAGTAAAATTTTAGTACTTAATTTTTCGTAGAGTTGGTCGATATAATTTATTTTTGGTAATATTTTTGATATTCATGGACTATTTCAGTCATCGTCAGGGTTACATATATGACTGCTTCACCATGTAGTTTCTTTAGTGAAATTTGGTAGAGCGCGTGTAAAATAACGATGGAAATCGATTTCAAATGCTCCTCTAAAGCAGTAAATATTTTCTAGTATCTTCAAAGAATTATAGTGGATAGGAAACAATTTTGGTTCTTCCTGTGAACCTTCTTGCTGGTTCTTGTGGAAACGCAAATATTTATGAATCGATGGCATTAGTGTGCAGTTGTCCATTTCGTGAATGTTAGAGTTATTTACACGGTTCTTTTTCACTCTCGTGCTTTGAATGAAATAGACTTTGGGAAATGCTATCTGGATATTGCTTTCCGTTGTATAATTTTTGGTTAGATGACAAAGATAAAGTTTATTTATCAAGAGGTCCAAAATATTTTCTCGTTGCTTAAATATTCCATTTCTAATGCAGTTGATTTGTAGAGACTGTATTGATTGATTATTTCAAAAGTAGAAACTTATCTCTTCAGTTGCGCTGCTTTTTCTCTCTATTTTCGAAACCGAGTATATTTTAAAAAGTGTATTTGTAGTTTGGTGCGCAGTATCCTGTTCACTGTTTGTTAGTTACAAGTCACAAAAAAGTCCATCAAGCTGTCAAAGTTACCGATAGTTTTTCCTTCTGAATTTGAAGCAAACTATGTCTAGTCGTGTCGTAGTTTACGGTGGTAGAGGAGGACTTGGTTCTGTACTGGTTGATTATTTCAAAATCAAAAACTTTGTGAGTTTTTCTGTACAGTTGCACTGCTTTTTTTTCCTCGTTTTCTTGAGAATGTTTCATTCCGAATGAAGCATATGTTTAAGTTAAATTTTCAGTGCCAAATAACTTTGAAGTTAAGTCATAGTATGATGTAAGAAATGTGCAAATATAATACGATCGCCATCACAATTATGGGAAAGATATATCGCTGTAACACCTTTCAGCAGTAGTCTTTTTCTGCTATGAATTAATGAATTAGGGGAGAATTCTTTGCACATTATTTACATCATAATATGACGGGGCTGTCCGCATCTTATCATAAATAAATTGAATGAATTGGACCAATTCTTAGTTAATTTCAAATCGCAACTACAGTAATTAAATCATGATTTGGTGAGGTTGTCGAAATTGCCAATCATTATGTGATAAGTTAAGCTCTGTTGATTGCAGTGGACATTAAGTATAGATGTTTTGAACAATGATCAAGCCGATGCAAATATTTTAGTAAGTAAAGAAGCATCTTGGATTGAACAAGAAAGATCGGTACTGAAATCGTTAGTTTTAATTATGTTTCATTGATCTATCAGTTTGAGTAGTTTTAAATTTAAGCTATGAACTTCTAAGATCCTGTTTTCCATTTCAAATTTTCTTTCCAGCGATTTTACAAAAGTTGTTCTTAGCTGTTTTAGAAGACAGAGAAGAGAAAGCGACTTTCATTACTGTCATTATGTATGCAAAAGAAATTTTTGTCCAATTTAGAGTTGCTGAAACACTAAATGGTGAATATTTGGATGCAGTATTATGTGTAGCAGGTGGCTGGGCAGGTGGAAATGCCGACAGTAAAAATATGATCAAAAATTCGGAAACAGTGTGGAAACAAAGCGTTTGGACATCAGCTATATCGTGTCGAATTGCTGTTCTTCATTTAAAGAAAGGTGGATTTCTCCAGTTTACTGGTGCTGCTTCGGTGAGCCCCTTTCTCTTCCCAAATAAATTTTTTCATTTAAGAATGGAGAAAAATTTGTATAAGTCCTTTTTTAGATAATGAATAATATACAGTTCACAAGAGTATATTTTAATGAAAATAAATTTTAGAACTGTGACAGTTTTTATTTTAAGAATATGTGACAAAGTACTCATAGGCTTTGCAAGCTACACCTGCAATGTTGGGATATGGCATGGCAAAAGCTGCAATTCATCAGTTGACTAAGAGCCTTGCAGCTGAAAGTTCTGGGATGCCTCATGGATCCACTGTTGTTGCTCTTTTGCCAACAATGTTGGATACTCCACAGAATCGTAAATGGATGCCAGAAGCTGATACTGATTCGTATGATTTAAGCGAACTTTTTTTCATTGGTTAATAACCATCTAACATTTTCTTTTAAAATCATAATAGAATACACTGCTTCATTCACTTCGCTGCTTAATTTTCATTTAAAATCGAAATTGAAATCTACTTCTGTTATCATGAGAACCATGAATGGTTAGGTGGAGGTTACACTGTTTAGTGAGGAATTTAAAGTGTTAGAAATTGATGAATGGAAGCCTATATGATACAGCTCTCAAATACTATTTTTGTGGTTTTTCACTTGATAGAATCTCCGCAGTAAATGTCGGAAATTTTAGATGGACTTCACTCCATTACATCGCAAAATTATTGCATGAATGGACTACAAATCCGTCCTCTCGGCCACCAAATGGTACTTTGGTCGAAATTGTCACGCAAAACAACGAAAACAGATTGAAATTTCACTGATTCTCGATGAAATTATTCTTCGTTTTTGTGCAGTATTTCTCAAAAGCAGATCAAAAATACCAAACAATAGTTTATTTCCAGAAATTATGTGACTATACATAGAATACTGGGTTGCAGTAAAGTAAATCTAGTAGATGGTAATATTTCTGCATTAAAAACAATTATGCTTAACAGATTTTTTGTTCGCGAAAATAAGATGCATTTCAAATTATATCTGCATCATTTCGTAATTGAATGAAACCATTCTAAATGATCCCATCCTTTCTTTTGTCTTTAAAAAATAAGTATGCTTAGTATGAAATGAATTAAAGAATTCTGTATGCGCTGGACATTGTCAATCGAAGTTTAGGTTATTAAATTTTAAAAAGCAAGAAATCACAGATTTTGCTTATAAACTTGCGAATGCAAAAATATAGGAAAGGTTAATCACATTAATTACTGAAGTAATTTCTTCATTATAATCGCCGTTTTCTACATGTAAGGTACAGTTGCGGACGAAAGTATAATGTAAGCTTAAATTATCCACGTGATAGAAATTTTAGCCAGTGTAGTGATGCCAACATGGCATAATTTAAAACACATTGTCAAGTTTGTAATTATGAATTTTAAAAACAAAGAATTGTGGTATAATGAATAAACACAGTGCTGCGGATGGAATAATTTAAGCATATGTTTTTGTGACTTCAGTAAATGATTCTGTACATATTCAGCGTTCAAAACTGCATGATGCCACCTATCTGAAATTGTAATTTTCCGTCTTCGGTGTTTCATTTAAACATCATTTAACATACTGTAACAGTGAGAGAAAATTGTTTTAGTAACACTGCACTACATGTAATACTGTGATATTAATGTTATGGTATAACTGTTGCGTTTTTGTAACTTACTACAGTTCAATATTCCCATTATTAGTATATTTGCTGATGCTGATGTTTACTTCACTACCAAAATGAAACTTTGCATTGATCGAAAATCGAATGGTGGGATCATTAGCCAATGCAATCAAGTTTTTGTTGAGATGACTGCAGTTGCACTGCGTTACTCAGCTGGGGACACAGTTAGAGTGAAATCATAGCAAAGGGAAATGCTTGGTTTGATATTATTTGGACAAAGTTTGCTCTTACTGACAGTTTCTTTTGTCATCAGTGGAGTGGTTGGTCAGTTGATGGTGGATGGTGGTGCTGTGGCGAACTAAGTGCTTTGGTGTGGGGCATACTTTTGATTGTAATGCGCTTAGTTTTGTTACAAAAGTATTGTCTTAATAACTATACTTCCATTAATTTCTAATTGCTTGTTAATAATCGTATCATCTTGATAGTCAGTATTGATTTAATCTAAAATCACTGGAATTAAGATTGTATTAAAAAAAACATCGGTTACGTGGAAAACAAGTTAAGTTTTTTGGTTACATGATATAGTTTCAATTCTTATCATGGTACAGGTATGTACCGTTGCTGAATATTTTGTCAATTTGCAGCTATCTCATGTGACAAGTATTCACTTCACAGATCTAGTCTTGTGTAGAAGTATATTTGACACTTATTTCAGGATCATTGTTATTGTTAAGATTATCATTACGAATTTTCGAAATGGAAATCAATGAGTTGGAACAGCAACAACAAGAGTACCATGAAATCGCGGAACATACTCTGATCTCTTCAACAACGTATGAGGATATGAAAATAACTTCAAGCGAGAATCAAGAGGAAACGCATGTACCGCAGCACCAGCAATTAGGTGCTCAGCCACAGCACCAGCAGTTAAATGCCCAGCCGCAGCACCAGCAGTTAAATGCTCAGCCACAGCACCAGCAGTTAGGCGCTCAGCCACAGCACCATGAGCATTATGCGCAAATGGAACATCAGGATCATGAAGGTAAATTTTTTATCCGTAGGATGAAGTATTTTGTCATAATATTAGCAAGTAAAGTCAATAGTAGCATCACCTATTCTATAATTATGGCAATATTACGGAAGAAATGTCAAGCATTTGTTGACAAATTGGGTTTATTAAATATAGGATATTCTAAAGTATTGAAAAGTTTTATGCTATTTTCATTATACTCGAAAATTACAAAGACTGCAAACTTATTGGTGTTCTCTTTGATGGTTTTAATGGTACATACCGGAATCAAAGTGAAAGGTTACGATTCATCTATGCATTTATATAAATTTACCTGTGTGGCCTTGCTATATCTGTATTTTTTCACAAAACTCATATAGCAACTTGATAAATTTGTTCATACATAATTTAACTTGTTTGCTTTTATTTATTAAAAGTAATTAATAATGAGGGTTTTGGGTTGTTTTTTATTAAAAATTGAGCATGCTACGAAGGAAAATGTCAAGCACGAAATATGCTTTATTGTAATAAAAAAAATAGTTTCGTTCAGTTCAGTTCAGAATTTATTTATTCGTTAAAATAGTAAAATAAGATATAACATTCAAATTTAAATGAGGTAGTGGGGGCATATTTAAATCATTTGCTTTTTGGTATATCTATCAAATTCATGCTATGGTAACCGTCATTTTTAACTGAATCTATAATCTCTAATTATGTACGAGAAATCGCCCAATAAGGTTTGGGATATGATTTTTAACCCCCTTAAATTGAATTCGATTTCAATTTCTATTCTCCATTTTACTGCGTTCTTAATGCAGCGTCGTGTAGTTTTATCATTTGCTAGCATTCATTTGATATTTGCTGTTAGCTTTTGGCCTGTAAAGAAAGTCTTTAGGTAACGTTTGAAAATGAGTATACTTCTGCATTAAAGAGTGTGCCAAAAATTTTGCATATTGATTGTTTTGTTTCGGTATTAGTTTTTCCATTTCTCATTATTCGGCTCTTTGTTTTTCTTCATAGTGATTGCATTGTTTCTAAAATCATAAGACATTTGTGCCACTTGTATTGAGTACAAACTGTTGTCGTAATTCAAAGCATTTTTGAAAGCTATCATTGATACTAAGTTTTATTACTGGTAAATTGATCCAAGCAAAATTCAGGGGCAATAAATGATAGTGGTCTGAATGGAATGATGAGAGATGAAATGCATCTTCATGAGGATGAGAAGTGTCATCGACAGCACCTCGAACGTGAAGGAAGTCATTTCAGTAATGGTATAGATGAACATCATGAAGGTGAGGAGTGTGGTGGAGAATATGAGAATGTTCATCAAACCGGACAAGAACATAGCGATTTTGGTAACAATATTTGATTTCTATACAGTAGATTAATCACTTCGTCACTAAGTTCCGTGTGAGCAGTCATGTGCATGTTTTTATCTTATCAGTGATCACAGTTTCTTTGCTGAGTTGTTAAAATGAGTGGTAAAATATTTCTCAAATGTGTCATTGGAGTTTAAAGTTTATGATATTTTCAGAAAATTATCAGTCGTATCCAGAACGTGCACCAACAGATAGAGAGGCTGTAGATTATCGAGGTGAGGAGTACCATTGTGATGAATATCGTACTGATGAATACCGCACTGATGAATTCCGAGGTGGGTTTCGTGGACGTGTCGGTTATCGAGGGGCAGCAAGTGGCGGTGCCATGTCACCTTATGCTTACGGACCACAAAGTGTAAGTGGTGGAGGTTGGCGTCCCCGTGGTCCAAGTAATTGGCGCAGTGGTAGAGGTGTTTATAGTGGAACCCCACGTGGAGGACTTTATGGAACTACTGAAATGGATGATGCATATAGTTATGATCGGTCAAGAGGTTAATTTTTCTACTGCAGATTTAGCAGAAGTCTGTTTTTACATTATATAATTTATCCTACTCGGAGATTGAAGAAAGGACTTAGTCAGATATCAGTAGTCATTTGAATTCAAATCACTTATGTTTTCGAGAAATTTTTGATGTAAAATTCGATATCGTCTGACTTTCCGTAGTTTATACTAGGTGACTTAGCGACATATTATTGATTCTAGTAATATAACTAGTAATACTAGTTTATTTTCGTTTATGTGTTACTCATCCATGTGATTTATTTACTCAGTTTTTCGTGAAAGTTAGATACGTAGTAAGTTCTAGTCCCTACTTCTATGCATGGTTTCATGCATTAGGGTCGCTTCTATATAAGAACTCGTGCAGGGTTTCAACGAATGCGTGGTGGTTATGGAATGCGTGGTCCACGACCTGGATTTATGGGGGATGGACGTACTATGCGAGGTCCGCCATTTCAGCCACGACCCCCATTCTATCCTTCACCGTATCCGGGAATGCCTCCAATTGCAATGCCTCCTATGACTCATCAGTTACCCACACAACAAACACCTCAACAGCAAGCCGAGAGATTGAAAAAAGTAATTTTAGAAGTCAATTAATTCTTAAGCTCATTCACATTTTATAAGCTCTTTGATTTTTATGGTTATGAATTTAAGTAAAGTTTTTTCTGCTTTACTCATTAGTACATCTCTTATTGGATCTTATTGTTTCCAATACTTCATCATATTACTATGAATTATTTGCAGCTTGCTGGTCTTTCTCCTGATCAAGAATTGTGGGTGGAAACTAAATCGCCAGATGGAAAGCCGTATTACTATAACGCTGTTTCGCGTGAAACAGTGTGGGAGAAACCTGAAAACGCGAAAGTAATGGAACAAGGTGAACTACAAGCTCTGGTTGAGAAAGATGCGAAGGAAGAAAAAGAACAAAGTACGATTTTTTTCATGCTTTCTCATCTAAAATTTTGGAAGATAGTTCTTTATTTTTCAAGAATTTCTCTCTCACTATTAAAAGTGTTAACGCAACTATCTTCTCTTTCTTTTTTATTATTGCATTATATTGTCATTATTATTGATGCATCAGTATTCTTATGGTAAATTATCGTGATTCCTTCTCTTTGAGACTTAAGTCATTTAATTTTCACTTCGGAAGTCATGTTAGTTTTGTCTTTTTCTCCCTCCGTTAAATTATGTAAGCAGTGATAAGCACGCAGAAGGTAAGTCGTTGGCGTGCGTGTGTAATCTCTAGTCACTTTGGCACGACCAATAATGGTTGGACTATGCAATGTAGTGGTTCTTGGCTTCTTCTTTGGCATTGTTATGGTACCGCGTAAAGTGGATTTATCGAGGACCTTCAGAATATTCCGGTGAAAGACTTAACGTGTAAAAATCAAATTTTTACATGTTAAGAGAGTATTGATGAGTACAAATCTGAATGATGAAGACTGCTTTTACTGTATTTGACAAATGTTTTTAGTTTTTAAAAGAAATCAATTATTGAATTTAAGGATTTCACACGGATGATAAAGATGATTAGGATGGTGTAATGGCTTTAATTAATTAGAAATATAACGGGTTGATTAAATTGTTGGCTACCGAAATCATATATAGTTTAAATTAGCAGTATTTCAGTCATGTTTTTAGCACTTTGCAGCATGATTCCTTATAGGGTCTACTACAATTTTGTCATTTATATTCTATGTTCTATCACATCGGGGACGTGAACGTGGTACGTATTGCAAGCGTTTGCTTACCTGGAGCAAAGAGAATAAAATCCGAGTAACTTTTCACTTTGAATTTAAAACCTTGAAAGCACGGAAACTAATGTTTGTAGTCACTAGCATTTATGTTTCTTTAAAAGAAAGAGAGCAAAACGCAAAGGTTTAGGTTAAACTAAGCTTCATTAAATTTTTTGTTGTTGCTAATACGCACTTTAGTTACAATGTGAACAACTAACTGATAATCATAAATGTGATATTACCGTTCCCGGATGCTTCCAGATATCGCGATGATTTTTGTTGCCTCTTCCTAGAACTACCATTATACGTACCTACCATACATACACATACAGGAGATGGGATGCGTAAAATCCTTCCTCTTCCTCACTTACTTAACGATGTGAGTGCTGTTGCGAGTTCAACGTACAAAAAAGTTAATTTTCATCGCAGTTATGAGAAATTTAATGTAAGGATTGGAAGATGGGGTTGAAATAATGTTGTTTCTTAATGTACTGTTTATAGTGGTAGAAATAGGTCTCGTGGCGAAATATGTTTTATTTCAAATTCCATGTGTGGTGTAATCGAGTATTCATCGAAGTCGGCCCAGTCACTTGTTAAATTTCATTTTCTACGAAAAAAAATATAAAAAGAACATCATCTTAGTTATTTTTATATTCTTTGAAATTGTATCCCGAAAAGTTCATGGTACTAGTCAATAGGTACAAAACTTTGTAATGAAGGTGGTTCCGTGTACGCAATCATTGCATCGACTAATCATGTTTTTCAGCTTCTTTCTGCCAAATTTAATATTGTCCGAAAAAATAATCTTTTCTGTAAACGAGTGATTGTGAAAAGTTGTTTGTTAAATTAGTATGTCTTGAAATGAGCGCGCTCTCAATTCTATTCATTATAATTGTTGGATGTATCATTACAGAATTTTATTGCATTCTGTTTATCACGTGATGAAATATTCGAAAACAGCTCATCTATTTCAGCCGCTCAAGCTGTCTCTGTTGGTAGTGCATATGGCTCTACTGTACCACCGCAGATGGCTGCAACTATGCCGATGGGTGGTTATCCACCTATGATGCCACCACCAGGTTCGTGAAGTTAAGAGGTTTTTAGAGTTTATGCTGAAAGAATTCTGAACATCTGAATTTTTGTGTTATAAAATGTTTTAATAGTCATGAGTTTTTCTTTAATTTCGATTGCAGTCTATAACTTTACTATTGAATTTATTGTCGAAAGCACTTCTCATGCTGTTTGCAAGAATCTCAGGATAAGAGTTCAACTTTTTTAGGCTTCCCAATGATGCCACCAATGATGTTTCCTCCGCGGGGACCAGCTTACCCTCCTATGTTTCCTGGCGTACCTCCTTCGTATCCAATGCCAGTTTCTGGACTACCACCAGTTGTGCCTGCAGCTGTTTCTTCTGTTGCTGATGTATATTTATTCAAATCTTGTTCACTTTGCTTTTTTCAAGCATCTGTGACTATTTCATTTTAGGTTTCTATGGTACCATCGGATGCTACTATTTGGCAAGAATATACAGCTCCTGATGGACGGAAATACTACTACAACACCCAAACACAAGAGACGACGTGGGATAAGCCGAAAGCTCTTGAAAGTCAGTGGTTTTAATTCAATCAATTAATTATTGTGGGCTACAATTATTCTTCTAGAGTCCATTTGTTCGCTTATGAAATTCTGGCAAACAGGTCATCACCTCTTTTTTTTCATCTTTATCTAGATTTATTGTCTGACATTTATTTCCAGCTTCCACCGCTAGTACCTCTGAAGCCATGGACAGTAGTCCTGCTACACCAGCATTCACGGAGGCACAACAGCAAGCGGCAGCTTTAGCCCAGCAACAGGTTTTTTTTTTTCTAAATACTTCAGTAGTTTGAATTCAACTAAAAAATTTGTTGCTCTTACATTTACGGGGCCAAAAATTAGATTGCAGAAGCAGTAAAGATGATTTATGACTAATTGTACTTCAAAATTAAGGACTAGATTTCCATTTACCACTGGTTCTGGTAATTTTCGTTTAAGTGTTATTCTTAAAAGTCCAGTGCTAGCAGATAAGAACATCCTCTCAAAGTTTTCATTTGTATCTGTTTATGCTAATTAGAAATATATAGAAGTGTAAAACAGATTAGGCAATAAGTATTGCAAATCCTGAGGATAGTTACAAAGTTAGCTTAATTCTTAGGTGCAAGCTCAGTTAGCAGCTGCTAAGGCAGCAGCAGAGGAGGCAAAGAAGCAAGAGGAAGAGTCGGCAAAGGAAATGGAAGTAGAAACGAAACAAGTTGATAAGTCGAGGCCGGTCAGTAGTAACCCTGTAGCTGGAACACCATGGTGTGTCGTGTGGACAGGAGATCATAAAGTAAGTATTTAGGTTTTCGGAGCAGCAGTTTAAGCATTAAATGAGCCTTTTAAATATTTAAGTTGTGCTTTATTTGTTTCTAACAAAAATTATTAACAGTTTTCATTTACAGGTATTTTTCTATAATCCTTCAACCCGCACGTCTGTTTGGGAAAGACCACCTGAGTTATATAATCGACCAGATGTAGATTTACTGGTATCAAAGCCACCGGAAGAAAAGAGTGAGTTGCCGTCTTACAGTTACAAAAGTTGGTACTGGATTGACTTAAATTTCGCGTCCATTACTTCTACTTAAGTTTTGTGACCTTACTCCTCGCTAATGTTTCAAGCTGCACTTTGCATTTAAAATTTTCATAAACTGACTAATAACGGTATCATCTCTATTAGAAAAATTGATATTGCTCTGTGGAGACTAATTCCGGTTATGTTTGTTGTTTCAGAGCCAGAAAATCCTCAAAAAATGGATGATGATAGAACGGAAAGCCGTGTAAGAAGTGACGATGATGATGAGGAAGAAAATGCGCCACCTGCAGCTAAAAAAAGTCGGAAAGAAAAGAAAATGCAAGTTTTTACTGCTTGTGATATTACAGTAGGTCGACAAAAGTTCTTAAACAATGAAGTAAATTATAATAATTTAAGGGAGAAGCAACGTTTGGAGCAACTAGCAGCAAAAAAAGAAAAGGATAGACCAAGACAAATGCTTGAGAAGCAGGTTGACCCGGCTATCCAAGCAGAGTTACAAGCTCAGAAAGAAAGAGAAGAAGTGATGATTTTAGTTCCCACTTATTCAATCTTGAAAAAATTAAATTTTGTGTTACTGCATGTCAAATCACAATTTTTTTAGGTAGAAAATGGAGATAGCAGAAATGCAAAAACAGGCACGGGAGATCTTAGTAGTTTTGAAATGATAGGGAAAACGGCTAAAGTAAAGTCTAAATTGGCCTATATTTTTATTCTTTCATTCTTGATACTGCAGTTGCCGTCTCGAAAAAACTTATTTTCATGTCGTTCAATCATTTTTTTCAGGTGCCATTCGAGCGTAGATTACAGGAATTCAAAGAAATGTTGATGGAAAAAAATGTAAGTGCTGGTAGTTCTTGGGAGAAGGAATTATCCAAAATTGTATTCGATAAGCGCTATCTACTTTTGAACGCCGTCGAACGCAAGGCTGTATGTTTTCATTTACAAAAATCATTGTACTGATTCACTAACATCACATTGTGTCATTGGGATTGATAAAATCATTTTGATTCATTTTTCAATTGATGTGTTAATATTAGCGTAGAAAAGTGTATTTGAATTCAGGCATTCGAGGCTTATGTAAGAGAAAGAACCGAAGTCGAACGCGCTGAAAAGAAGAAACGTACTAAAGAAGCGAAAGAAAATTTCAAGATTTTGCTAGAAGAAGCTAAATTACATGGAAGGTAAGTTACCCTATTATTACGTTGTTGCGCAGTTCAGCATTTTTTACTGAAAAAGTCTCGTAAACGTTTAATAATAATACATATACAACGCGCGCGATCGTGTCTCAAGTGTGGTTTTTTGGTAGTTGTGAAATTATCTGTTGCTCTGACGAAGAGCTGTGTAAATTTTATTGAGTTATTACAGAATTTTAATAGAGCATGGTATTGTGATACTTGTATTAGAGAAATCTAATGCCATACTTTTTTCAGATCTTCGTTTTCTTCTTTCGCATCAAAGTGGGGTAAAGACAGCCGTTTTAAAGGGGTTGAGAAGATGCGAGACAAAGAAGATATATTCAACGAATATGTACAGGAACTTGAAAAGAAAGAAAAAGAAGAACGTAAAGAAAGAAGGGAAAAGGTTATTCATTATTTTTCTTATAGCTCCGGTAATCTTGAAGTTGTATTTAATTGATAAAGTGTAGAACTCAATTAATTTTTTGATCGAAAACAATTGAGATGTCGAAGTCATACTATAATGTCTATTGTTTGCAGGCGCGTAGAGATTTTGTTGCGATGCTTATGGAAAAAAATATTACTCGTCGAACAAAATGGTCCTCTTTAAAGAAACAGTTAGAAGATGATGATCGTTACAAAGCTATCGATCGGTCTTCGAGTCGTGAAACTCTTTTCCGTGAATATCAGGACACACTGCCAGAAGAATCGAATTCAGTAATTTTTAAAGTAATCCCATTTTCAAAATAGTTCGTAACTTGAAGGTACTTAGTGTTTTGCACTTTTCATTTTTATGTGGTTATCGGAATAGATCTTATGAAATTACGCAGGAAAAGATCGACTGTAGAATATTGCACTTATTTCACTTTTTCAGTTAATAGAACTTTAGGGATTTTATTGACGTGAAGAGAAAAAGGAACTAAATGAACGTTCATATATGTTATTGAAAGTCTGATTTTTTGCATGTATAGCATATAACATGAATTTGTAGGACATTGAAGAAGAAAATGATCGACAGAAGCGTTTCGCAGCAGAAGCTGCAATAGAAGAACGTAAAAAGGAAGTGGAGGCTGAGCTAGGAGAGCAACTGAAAGAAAGAAGCAAAGAACACGAGAAGCATAAATACCAAGAGCATGAAGATTCCTTTAGAGCTTTGCTTATTGACCTAGTAAGGCATCTTTATTTTGTTTACCAACATATGTATCTTAAATCAGTCAAAACGTATATAAATTGACAATCAACTGGAGCAGTTCAGCTCGTCGAATACTTTTATTTATAATTTCATACAAATTTTTTCGATTTTTTAAGATAAAATCAACTGATTATACATGGCATGAAGCACGCCGAGTTTTACGAAAAGACTCACGTTATGAAAATTGTGATCTCTTGGAAAAGGACGCTAAAGAGCGCTTATTTGAAACTCACATTCTGCATTTAGAGAGGAAACGACGCGAACTTTTTTTCCAAGTATGTGTTGATCGACTTACTTTTTTCATTGTAAGTGGTAGTTAACGATATTGATTTAAATATTATCAAACTTGTTTGGCAGCATTTATGTTTCCTTTTTTAGAAGTAGTGTGTCTTTTCCGCCTTGAATTTCCAGCTCTTGAATGATGTTTTTTATAAATTAAAGTTGTGTATTTGTAGTTATTAAATGAAACAAAAGATATTACGTCGAGTATGAAATGGCGAGAGGCCAGGAAAATTATAGAAAAAGATGAACGATTCTCAAAATTCAGCGTCAGTGAAAGGGTAAATGTTTAATTCACTTACATAAAATAGTTCGTTTCTATCTCAAACATGTAGTTGAAATATTTGAATGGGTTGGTAGTAATTTTTGAAAGTACGTGATTATTAGAATTTGTAGTGAACATTGACTGCTACTTTTCTCGCTGATCAGAAGCAGCTGAGCACTTTTTTATCTCAAACTTACAGCTCATAATTGTTAGCTGCACATTCTTGTTTTTCTATACAAATCTAAATTTGCATAAAGATAGATTAAACAATAAAGTTGATAAACTTAAATTTTCTATCTTTTTGAAATTTGCTGTTTGGAAGACAAAATATCTTCGAAAGTAATCAGAACTGTTTTCTTGACTTACATATTGTAGAAGACAGAACGTGATTACAAAGAATGGATGGAGGAACGGAAAGAATCAGTAATGAAGGACTTCAAAGATCTATTGAAAGAGACTAAGATCATCACATATAAATCACTGAAAATGATACAAGAAAATGAGCAGCATCTCCGTGATATACTTGCTGTACTTGAGGTTAATTGATTCAAACTACCTCTGTAACAGTTCTGATTATGTGTCTTAAATTTATCATCTTTACTTTCGAACATTTGGTAATCTTCTAGCTTCTAGATTCTAATTCCTTCTCGTTTTGTTAGGACTAATTCTAGAGGTGTAGTAATTATTAATGATGATTGAATTTTATCTCGGAACTGAGCCGTTTTTGTGTTTATAAGTTGACTGGTTTTAGAATGATAAGCGATATATTGTTTTGAATGATGCACCTGTAGAACGGGAACGATTGCTGGAGCAGTATTTGGAAGATCTGGATAAAAAAGGTCCGCCTCCACCTCCTACACAACAGGAAGCTGACAGACGGCGCAAATGACTCCAGTGTTTTTCGCTTTTTTATTTGCATTATAATAACATTCAAAGAGAGTTATTTTATCAAGAACATGTTTATTAAAAACTTAAGATACTTGTTTTAAGGTTATATTTTTTTGTCTCCACTTAGACGAAAGTAATGATTGCGGGATCTTTCGCATGAAATTCAAGGCATTCAATTTTTTTGTTCTCTGAAGAATGTTTTTCTTTAAAATGAAAAGTTACATGAGGATTGAAAAGTTTTCTGATATGCTCGAAGAGATCTCATTTTAAGCTACTTCCAAATTCGTAGGATGGATGTAGAGATTCAGATTTCAGACTTTTTTGATACATCGCCTTTGTTATTATTAGAGTTTTGTTTGGGAACGGTAAAACAGCTGAAGAACAAACCACAGTTACAATAATTATTTCATCACGTTAAATACCATTCCAAGAACTGCATTTCACGTCAATTTTTTAGCGCACAAGATATTTGATTTCTGGAATAAGGTACTCGGTATTATAAGTAGTATATGAAGTAGTTTTGAACTGTTATAATTCTATTTCGTAAGATGCGAACTATTTTATTCCCGTACTTCCTGTTTTTTTTTTTTTTCATGAATTCCCTTATTTACCGGAAAAGAAAGTTTTGTCCGTGGATTAAATTGACGATGTGTGCAATGCGTTTTTGTTATGATATGCTATTTTGTTGATCAACGTTCCTCGTATTTCTCACTGTTGTCCGCATAAAAAGTTTTCTGAGTGATGATTCATCCTGATCACAACTTCCAATTATATAGTATCCATAAATAAATTCCAGTGCACAGTAACGATGCTGTGTTTCTTATCTATTAGAAGAATATATGTATAGATTTGTGTAACAGTTCTCGTCTCGCACATTATTGCGTGTGTCCAGGATATGCCACGGAGCAGGAGAGGATTAGTTGGTAAGCTAGATTCTCGAAAATTCTTTTGGTAGATATTTGTACTTAAGAGTATGTGAAGATTTGGAAACAGGTATTCCACTAGGTTGTTGCTGCTCTATAAGCCAATATCTGACGTCGTTCGTAACATTTGAGTACTCACTAATCGTTATATGTAGTTTGACGGTTGACATAACTTTGAAATTGAAAAAAATGATTGGTCTGTAGTGTTAACCTTAATCGTTTTTAGTTTCTATTCAGTAGTGTGCAGCAACACATGTTAAAAGAACCTCTCATGTAATGAATAGAGAAAATCTGAATCATAGTAGGAAACAAATGAGTTTGTAGAATTCTTCAGAGTGCCAGAACCAAGTACTTGCACGATGGATACAGGCGATGCACTCATTCTTCTTCAGAACTACTGGTCAGACGAAGTGTTGAAACCGATTTTCGACGGCTTCGTAGATACCTCTTTTGTTATTCTCTGTATTGCGAGAAGTTCATAATAATGGCTTTGCGATTGGTCTCCAGGAACGGAGGAGGCAAGCAACTAGTGGCATCGGTTGTTCATATTCGCCAAAGCGCTTCCAAAAGGGTACATGACACTTTGAGAAAAATACGCTATACAAGTCTAAGGTTCATTTGGAAGTAAAGCAGAAGTACCTGGTATTGATGCAAGAAGGCTAGGAACATGAGTTAAATCAGGTGAAGTGGACGTGTAGAATAAAATTGAGGGACATTCAGCCACTTATAGAAGTACAATTCACCAATTTTCTTTTCAATACAAATCGCTTACCCATTTTCAGTTTTTTTTTCGCTGTTTGCACTTGAAATATTACGTGTGAATTGACTGATCGCTTTAGATGATTTAAAAATTTGCTAACGCTTGCTATGTTTTTTTAAAGTAAGTGAATGATAGTAAACTGTATTTCAAAAGTAAGTAAAAAAGGCCAAACTTCACAAGCAGTTACAACTCAAGCTAACGATGCGAGCAGAGGAATTGATATCAAATTCATGTATAAGCTTTTGCTCGAATAACAATAACACTTACTATTCATCCAACAATAACATCTGTATAATTTCTTATCGATTTTCGCTTTTCATTAATTCTAGTCAGAAATATATTTTTTAGATTCAAACTCATATGAAAATTTTCCGTCAAGGCATATGGATATTTACATCAATATGGGAATATGTCTTGACCGATTTTTCGTCTATTAGTTGAGATTTGCAGATCGAAGTCATTTAATTCTAGGCATGTAAGACTTTGTTAAGATATTTTTTAGTGGTTTACATTATTTTACATTGTTTCTCACAAATTACTGCATCAGCCATAAGCATTGTTTCAACGACAAAAAAAGAGAAAGAATTACATCACTGCAACTTTTTCTGGAAAATCTCTATAAGTTAGCTCACGAAAATCTGTACAGTACGAAAAGTGACTTCACTACTTGAACCAGACTGCTTTTTGAGCAAGTTATGAAGACCTATTAATTGCTTTGTATTTCTTTCGAAATTGCAGTTTAAACCTCTTACATATGACAAAGCTTACGAAAATCAGGTTATTGTGAAGTTTTAGTTTCAGATTGAAAATAAATAATCAAAACAAAAATTCTTTTTCCTGCACTGCACACATTGACTACATGTTAGATTGGCTTTGAATCTGATATGATGTCAATGAATCAAAATCTACTTTAAGACGGATTTTTTATCCCTTCTAGTTCTTGATATTCGAGAGTAAGTACGAGGGAAGCATCATCTTTAACAGATTAATTTGAGCAGCAAAACTCTCCATCAGATATAAACTTCAGTAAATTTGAATTTTATAAAGAATACAGTGAATGAGCTGCAGAAAAGTTATTTCTAAGAACAAAAATGCAATATTCGTTTTTTACTGATTCATGCAGTGTTTTTTTTGGAATAAGTACTGAAAAATATTCTTCACCTATCATATATCTGATCAGTTAACAAGAAAATGTGAAATAACCGGTGGAACGTATTAGTGAATAAATTTGCATAAATATGAATTAATACGATGCATTATATCACATTACAATATATCACCTCATTTTATGTTTCACATGTAGTCAGTCATGGAAACGACGGATTTAAACAGTGATATTAATAGGTAAAGTACGAAAATATGCAAATTTAAATAAAGTAGTCATTTACATTTAAAAGATGTTAGTTAATAGAGCTGAGAAAATCAAATTAGTTTTCAAAATATCAAAAAAGCTATGCAGCAATGCAAATTTACAAAATAACGTACTTATGAAAGGAAATCATTTCTTTTTTAAGTTTATATTACAATATGATTAAGAATCATTTGCCTCTGGACTTCAACAGAATCTTCGAATGTTTCGTCGTGATTCTTTGCATCATAGACTTTTTCTCCATGCTGCCCAGGAATTTGAGCAGTGATCTGAAATAATTCAAAAATATACACCAAATTTTAATACAGAACTTTTCATTATCACAAATGTCAATTTTTAATAAAAAATAAAGAGGAATGGATATCTTTTTTACTTTTAAAATTTACAATTTGGGATTGAAGCAGTTAGAAAAAATTGTTGGAAAGAATATAATGTAATAAATGCAGAATTCATTGTGCAAAAAACTAATGGTTAAAAAAGCTCTAAGGCAGTACTGCACGCGCATATTCTTTGAATATTTGAATATTTGTCATAATGACTGAACTTTAAATATATGTTTTAGCATAATTTTGATGTCGCATCTCATTATATAAAAATCAACACAACGCAGTTTTATGTTACAAAAGGCTACAAAATAATTAAAGAGTTTTGCTTAAAGCCAGCATTTATTTTTTTGAATGAAAGGTAAAAACGGCTGAAAGATGATTTTCGTGTGAATAAAATGATTCATTTTCTTTAAATTATTCTAATATTACCTGTAACTTACTGTACTTCCAAAATATTCAAATTTCTTAAGGTTTGACTTCATTTTTTTTGTATATTTGAAAGTTTTTTCAAGTAATGAAAGACTTGTTACTTTATTACAAACGTTGTATCCAACCCATTGATCAGCTTTACTATAAATGGAAAATATATGCTTCCCTTCATAGTCTTGTTGAGAATTTATGTTCTGCAATAGATGTAAAAATTAGTAAACCAAATATGATAAATATGAGATGATAAAGCAATTTCCATGTCATAATTCATTGATAATTTCATTAATTATTCGCAATAAAGGAAAATCTTTCACTCAAAGTGAAGCAAAAATGATGACATAACTGTTTTTGCTGTTGAAATTAATTGTCATTGGCATACCGTTAAAAAGGCGCTTTCCACAGGACATGCCCCAGAATATAAGCCATCTCCAGTATTGCATATGGGAAGTAAACCGTGAATACATGATGGAATGCTTAAATGACCGATCTGAAAAAAAGAAAATAAAAGTAATACTAATGAAAATGAAAGTGAAAATGAAAATAAATGATAGAATTAGTTTTATTTTCGGACAAATCGCAGCTGCTTAAAATTTTCTTATAATATGTATACAAATTTGAAAAAAAAACTGTTCCATCAGTGCATCGAGACTCAAGTATTCATGACATAGTAAGAAACAAAAAGTGCCTGATGAGAAACTCCATGATTTGGTCCGGCTATACCAACAAAAGTGTCAACAAAATGTGTTAAAGGCCGTCCGAGATATTCAGCAGTATCCACGCAATCACCTCAAGTACGTATTTAACACGTTTTCTTAATAAAAAATGTGGAAGAATGCACTAAGGTAAATAAAAGTTGAATAATTACTAGAATAAATTTATTTTAGGTTAATTTATGCGACCGACATTCAAAAATGAAAAAGCTAAGCCAAAGCTGTTCCTTGATATACTCAAAAATAATAAAACATCTGATACTTTGGTGAAATTATTTAAAAAATATGATTTCTAATAGCCGTAAAATAAATCAGTGAACAATTACGGAATTTTAATCTTAGTAATTTCATCCTATTGCTTGTTTCTTTAATAATTCTCGGCTACATTCCATCAACATTGCTTCTATAATCAATTTTTTATTATAGAAATATTAAAAAAGTGACAATTATTAGTGACTTATTACAAATACAAATTTTGAAAATGACTTTGACCTCCTAATACAGCTTTGCGAGCTATTGGTACACCCAATGAAAAAGCGATGACATCTACGGCACGGCCAGTGTACAAACGTACTGCTACAATTAATGCTCGGACCTGGAAAGGAAGTTATAAATACATGAACAAATGAATTAATGATTAATTAGATAGTTCTAAAAGTAAGCGTTAGAAGAATTAACAAATAATGCAGTACAGACTCAGAATTTACTAGCCCAATCTAATAATATCTTATTAAATCTATGCTTGCTTGTATCTAATTATTCTTAACGCTGCAAGTTCAATATTAGAGAAATATGCTTTCATCAAGAAAATTGCACTGTTCTTTGATAACGAGCATAAACAAAAGTTTTCTGTTCTTTGCTGTAGATAGAAAGTAAATTAAATTTTCGAAATTTTAGCGAAACAAACTACTTTAATCTTTTTTCTTCATTAATTTTCTGTTAAAAAAGCATAAGTACAATATATTTGACATCAAAAATCATGAATTTTTGATAAGAAATTTAGATTGAGCAACGACATTAAGGGAGAAAGCTGAAATTGGATATTATTTTCAAGCAGATAAATGTTCAGAAATGTAATCGTAATTTCCATTTTTATGATCAATAAAATTTGGAATTACTTGTTTGACATATTGGCATTTCATAGAATACTGAGTCCACTGTAATGGATTACCCTGATTACCACTAGCATATGTTGTTGCATACAATTCGGACCAGTTGTAACCGGAATATCTAAGAAATGCTGACTAAATTTTTATTTTCTGCATCCATGAAAGACATCGCAAAATTTGCAGATTAATGCATTCAGAAAAAAAAATCATCATATACTAGAAATCAATAAAGTTTTACTAAAAGATTCGCAGATTAAAGACTTACAGAACAAAAACTTTTTCAATGATTAGCATAATCTATTTGTTAGTTTTCTTCACAATTTATCGTAATAAGTACATTAAGATAAATTGTGAAGAAAACATTACCTGAAATGCATGGCACCCAAAAGCGGCTGATCACCAGCACGATTTGATACGCCATGAACAAAAATTACTGGTTGCTTTCTGAGCATTTCATTTTGGTACTGCTTGCCACCGAAAGAACCGGCATATCCCAGATCTGCCCTGAATCGAACTTATTGCTAATTTTATTTTACTTTTTTGGTAGTCGATAAGTTATAGAAAATTTTTATTTTTATCGTCGCAAATCATATTTCCATAAAAAGTATATATAATGTATTTTTTGCTTTTTTGTAATTTCCATAAAAACATTTGTGCGCATTTTTTTCTTTTTTAAAATTATATCACAATAAGAAATCAATAAGCCCCAATAATGTCGTAGCAAGAAGAATTAGTGTAAATAAAAATCGAAAAAGTGCTTTCGAAGTTAAAATTAATGATAATTTGTGAATGGTAAACACAATATAAATAAGTATTTTTGAAATTTCGAAAACATTTAACCTATTTAATGTTGCCTGTGTATTAGGTCCATAAAATTCCATTAGCCACTTGTTGAAATCCTTCGTGAAATATGCATCAACCAACAGATTAACTTGACTGATTAACAGTAGATGTAAAACTTCTTGCCAGTTCATTGAACTAAATAAAATAATTATTTACTTCACATTTCATTGTTAAAAAGATGTCTGTATCTTACATTACGTAAGATAGAAATTTCAGAGAGGTAACTAATTTTATAACAAATTTTCATTGTGAATTTAAGACTCTCAAGATGTGGTTTTCAATTTTCATAAAAGTATTCACAGAAACAAAAATCAAAAAATAACAATACTGCTTTTCAAATTTGAGTTTGATGCAAAAAAAGTTAGTAACAACAAAACTTTAATCAAGGAAGTAGAGTAAAAAGTAAAGTATTCAAATGAGATAATTTAAACATGAACACTTTAGTTATTATGAATGAATGATAACTGAGTAGTGAAAAGCAAC